GGGGTGTTCAGATTTGGACGTGTCGCACAGAGCCAGGGTCTACAACTACGCATTAAACGACTTGGCCGACAGCGGCACACTCTCGCAAGTGAGTGGTGTCAGGCGTTCACAACCGATGGCTGCTGCTGGCTGGCTGGCTGGCTGGCTGTGTGTATGCCTCTCTCTCCTCTGTGTGTGCAGTGGCTGGCTGAAATACAAGCCTTACAGGGCGACTTATGAGAGGCAAGAGACGGCACAAACGTCAACACAAGAAAAGGCCCAGGGCGACTTCCTTCTGCAGGGTGCTGAGCAGATACAAGAGGCCCACGTCAGGGAGGCCACCAAGCGATGAATTAATGACACATGTGTATGTAATATAACAGCCGGCCTTGTTCGTTTGGAGACCGAGGCTGTGTTTTGTATGTGTCGCTTGTATGTGATCGATGGGTGTGTGGACGGTGTATGTCAAGACATTAAGTGCGATTCTCTGTGCTGCTTGTCAAACAACAAGTGTGTGTGAGTCTGCCGACGACCGACGAGCGTACGCAGCTATGCTTTTCACACTGGCGATATGAGTCCACACACTGAGTCTTAGCGGAGCCCGCCCATGCCGCCGGTCAGGAAAATGCCAGTTCACTCTATGCACGTCCGTCATGCTCACGGCACACACAGACAGACAGACTCCACCACACGGTCATCAAGAGAGGGCATTGGCGAGTGAGTCAGCCAGGCAGCCACACACTCACATCGGCCGAACCACCGCATCAACATCGGCAGGCAGCGGAGAACATGACCAGATGCGCCCACACCCCCACCCCCACCCACAGGCAGCCAGCCATGAGAACGGGCAGAGTTCTATACACACAAACAGACATGCAGAGAGGGAGGAGAGAGGGCTACGCCTAGAGAAGAGAGACCCACGAACAAAAAGGCCAAGCCATAGACCGACTGAACTGATTCATGCACCAGAGGCACGCCAGCCATTCGGTCACCCATCAGCAGCTGGTCTGTCTGTCTGTCGACAGAGTGATCGGTGTGCGGTTCGTTTTGCGCGCACACAGATCGGCGACAGAGATGACGACAGCCGGCACCCGAAAGATACCATCCTGATGACACACACATGCACGAGCCAGCCAGGACGACATTCAATCACATGACAGAGGACGTCCGGAGCTGCTCACCCACCAGTGTTGACTGATCTATCAGTCGCCGCTCTCCGCCTCAGCTGCGGCATCTTCACCTGCGAGTGCACAGAAAGCAATGCAGACCAAGTTGACGGCCTCTGTGCGCTGTGGTGCCTTCCATCCCGTGTACCTCCGCTGCCTTCATTACGGCTGCCGTCGTCCATATCGTCACCCTCATCATCGTCACCCTCATCGGAATCTACACCACACACACACACAGAGAGAGAGAGAGAGATGCGTCTCATCGATCCATCCATGAATGTGTGTGCCCCTCCTCCTATTGGTACCATCCTCATCATCGTCGCTATCGTCATCCTGCTGCTGCTGCTGTTGTACTTGTCCGTCGAATACGAATGGCGCCACCGCCCCCAACGCCACACGACCCAGCTGAGTGGTCACTGGGAAGCGGTGCTTAAAGGGACCACTCCCACACACAGCCGCCTCAGTGGTCCTGACACACACTTGCACTGCACACAAAAGGAAGAAGAACATGCGACGTATGACCAGCAGCACTTCCTCTCCGTCACTCTGACCGTTGTTTCCGAGTCCCCAGATGAAAATCCACGCGACGAAGGGGTGGCTGCCGTTGGTCAGCACCAGCTGTCGCGTATTGCCGTGCAACCCGCTGATTGTCGTAGTGCATCCGGCCACCGGTGTGTGGGGCGACTCGGTGAGCAGGTCGTTCAGACGGCCGCCACCGACATACCTGAACCAACCACACACGCACACACATTCAACGGCGCACCCCTCTTGCCTTCAGTGCCATTAGTGTGTTGTCACCTGTTGACTGTGATCGATGTGTCGTTGGTCTGGTGAGTCTCGTCGAAGTAGACGAGGACCATGTACTTGACAAACGACGACACTGACGCATCGGCGGACCAGGGACCGTTCGACTTCCATCGGCCGTGGCCACAGGAATGCGTAGAGTAGTAGATGCCCTCACGCACCGGCGGGTCGTGTAGCTGCCGGTGCTGCCCATACAGGTGGCCGGCAGGGAGGGGCGGGTCGACCTCCAACTCGAAGTCGGGCTGGTCCTTGATGGCCCGCACCTCATTGCCGTGTTGGAACAGCTGCAGGCAGTTGCGGTCACCGAACTGGATGTCGCGGCCAACCATCTTGAGCTGCGCCAACACACGGGGAGCCGACACATACACCTAAACACAGGACCACACACACACACAGAGAGAATGAGGCCCTCTCCCTCCCCTCCCCGCCCCTCTGTTTGCTGGCTCACCGTTTTGTTTGTATGTGTGTTGATGTCATCGGCCGCGAGGATGACAGGCAGGTCACAGCAGCCGCACTGCCCCGCCAGCTCAATCACCTCGCCGATCTCGTCCCATGGCCCCTCCTCCACCACACACACAGCCGCCAGCAGATCGTGTGTGCCGAATCGGCACTGGTCGTCGCCGAACCGCAGCAGCTGCACTTGCTGCCCATTCACCGCCCGCCGCAGCCCCGCCTGTGAGCCCAGCGAGTGGCGGAGCCGATCTCTCAGCTGCGCCTCTCCGAAGAGCTGTCTGAGCCACGTGCGGGTGGCCCTCAGCCGCAGGATGTCCTTGATGCTGCTGAAGAGGTAGAAGGTGCGGCGGCCGACGAAGATATACGAGAAGGGGTGCTGCTGCTGCTGCTGCTGCTCTGGTTGCTGCATCTGGGTAGCTATGATGTGCTCGACGACAGCCTGCACAGAGCGACAGAGCCGACAGAGGATCGTGTGCATCAAGCATGCTGCTCACTGATCTGTGTGCGGCTCACCTCGTTCGATGCTCAGACGGACAGATCACCAGGCAGAGAAGTGAATGTCGCACCACCACCAGCAGCGGCAGCGGCAGATGAGGAGGCCGCCATCACTCCTCAACGACACGCCTGCAGCCATGGGCCGACAGAGAGAGAGAGAGAGATGCCAGCAGAAGAGGACGGCCAACGCATTGAGGCCAATGGATCAGTGAGCGCCTCAGTGAGTCAGTCAGTGAGTGGTCGGCCTCCCTCACCTCCGATATCTCTAAGGAATCACTATAGTCCGCTGTAGTATGGATGCGAGGACACACAAGACAGCTCACAAGACAGCTCTCCCCCCCGGTCTCCCTCTCTCTCTGGGGTTAAAGGGTAACAAACCCTTTGACCCCAAACCCTGAGACTCATTCACTTCCACTTCGTTTGTTTCATTCACAGCCTCCCTGACAGCCCACAGCACACACGAGATCTGCTTGTTGTTTGCCACGATGCGTGTGACACGCAGGCGCGGCGGCGGCTGCTGGCGGCACTGACTGACGGTCTGCGACACGCCGAGATGATGCATGGCGCCGTCTTTGCCGCTGTCCTTTTGGCAGCAGCAGCAGCCTCTGCATCTGCCAAACGTGCGTTGTTTCTTCCCGCACCAGCCGCCCACGAACGCGCCACCGCCCGTCAACCGAATGGACGGCTGCTCAGGACTCCCCACCATTTGCAAGCCACCACGCACGACGAAAACGTTGTTGACCCAGTCACCCACCTGGAAGCTGTAACGGTGAGTGGGTGAACAATTCAATACACGTGAGTGTGCGTGTGTGTGTGTGTGTGTGTGCCAGGACCGGATGGCTGGGCGTGTTGGGCCGGCTCCGACTGATGAAGAGCTCATGCAGTGGTTCGCCGACGGGGAGGCCGCATTGGCTGACTTCATGGAGGGCAGAACGTCGAAATGGAAATATAGGTCGACAGCATTGATGAGAACCTACCTTGTTTTGCGTGCATCTGTGTGTTTGTTGCTCGCTGGTTGCAATGCAGACCGCCCATTTCTGACGAGGATCTGAAGGCTGCGCTCTCTGAGTTCTGTAGGCAATCCATACCGTGGAACCCACTCACTGTTTGGTTATCCATCTCTGTGTGTGGTATGTCGCTGTCTGTGTGGGTGGCAGATGTGCTCATGCTGTTGAAGTGTCGACAGAAAGGTAACAAAGCGAGATGAGTGAGCGTGGGCAGACAAGACACGACACGACACGCCTCTCTCTCTCTCTCTGTGTGTGTGTGTG